GCAGTTATAGTCATACCACACAAGTTGAGTACATCAGGTGTAAGACATCACCCTGATGCATCACTTCTGAGAAATATGGGGAGGGAACTATCAGAGCTGAAATATCACAGCTGGCCCTGATTTCAGCTCCTGCCAAACACCTGCAGACTCTAAAAGGATACCATAACAAAACTCCACCCTGTGGCAAGAGGCCATCCCTTAACAACCCTTCCCTGACTTTGCATCACTATAAAAATTAATTTAACATTTTTTACAGAAACCTTAGTCTTCCTGTCCCAGAAGGCCATTACAGTTCCTTTAGCCATTTCTCTGAATATGCCTCAGAAAAAACCCTCACAGTAAATTGAGTATTGAAATATCTGATAGCTGGAAATTGTTTGAAGTTTATTATTTGTGGAAACTTATGAAAGTGGTAGGTTGGGGTTTTTTTATTAACCTCCAGATTGTCTCTTATTTTGGAAGTAATTTAATTTTAACACATCCTGGCAAAAATTTCCTAGCATCTGCTAAAAACTACATTCAGTATTGTGAGCACACAGAACAGCAAAAGTTATCAAGTGTCTTGAGTGGTTTTGTTTTGGTTTATTTTTTTCTTTTTGGGTTTTTGTTTAGTCTTTTTTTTGCTTTTTGTTTCTAACCACCTTATGTGTTTTGGTTGCTGGTTTGGGTTTTCGATTTTGGTTGATTGCTTGTTTGTTTGGCTTCTTGGGCAGACTGCTGTTTATTTGTTTGTTTTTAATATGACCATATTTAAATTGTTATTCTTTGTTGAAATAGACTTTTGTGGCCTACTGAGGGCTGTCCTAAGATGAATGATATTATGTTCATGTCTATAATAGTGCAGGGAGGTTTTCTACATGTAGAGGTTTCTGCAACTGAAAAGCAGCTGATTGAAAGCCTGAGGTAATTCAATGTGTCTGGAAGTAATTCCTGACAGACAAGAGATATTAAATTTTTGTATGTGTCTATTAAGTCCTAAAACTGGTCGGAAATCTTATGATGGAATGTTTTAACGTTTAAAAATGTCAACTCATTCAAAGTGAAACATTCGGATGAACATGTATTTTGAATCAGAAATCCATCTCAATTCCTGCCTGTCTTGCTAAGTTGAAAATGGTGTTTCAAGCCAACTTTTTACTTCAGTTTTTAAATTCTATGCAATAAAAGAGCTCCACACCACCAACCATACCCAACCCTTTAATTTTGTCAAAAGTAGCTCTTTTATACTAAATTACAAATGTTTTCAAGCTTTTGGTCTGTGGGAAATTTAGAAAAGTGGATTCTGTTCTAAAGCAGAAGGGATTAAGAAATGGAACATAGTTGGAAGAAGTGAAATGGAAAATCCAGTTCCAAGACTGTTTGTAATATGTGATTCTCACATATACACAATTATGCAGGCTTTATATGTATTACAAGAGAGTTCTATATCCAGATGCAATAGGAAGGGCTCAAAATGAGGCATCACTTGTATTTTGGTATGAGGAATATTGTAATGGGAAGTGTGTTTTAAATTTTGGCTGTAGTGAAATCTGGTCCATGCCTGTGCCATGTTTTTGTGTGGCCTCTCTCTCTTACAATGACTAGTGGAGAGCTTATAGTGGAGCATCTTGAAATATGATGGGATTATAAATAAAATAAAAATTTCTGTTTATCATAATGATAGGATTTTTTTTGTACATACAACTATTGTCTAGACAAGAAAAATAATGGTAAAGGCAGTAGTTCAATTTCTATTATGAAGTTTTCTTTTTTGTTTCCTTTAACTTTACAGAGTTTGATCTGAAATTTCCAGTGCTGGTTGTCTGCTTAAGTGTCAAGTACATTTGCAAACATTTTTGGTAAAATGACCTATTGATGATCAAGTTTACAGAAATATATTCTTTACCACGTCAACATATTCTTACCACCAGTTTTTGACTGCAAGTACTACTGCTCCTTTTTAGAGAATTAGCTCTTTTTCAAAGAGACTTGAGCAGAAAGTTGATGTCAGTGTCATAGACGTGCTCTTTTCTGTCCTATGTTTTTAAGGGTAAAGGAAAGAACCTGACTGAGTAGAGGAATGGAGCCCCACACAGTCTATGCAAAAGATACGATTTCACCTGTTGCCACATGTTCTAATCTTTTATGTGGGTTTTTTTGAGCCTAAAGGTGTTAGGTTTGCTTGAGACCTATGTTAGAAATTGTATAGCTACACTAGATTGAATGGTTAGGCTTTTTCAATGCCTGAATTTTGATTTCTAAAAATGTCACAGTAAACAAGAAGAACACCAACACGAGAACTCGCCAAGAACTTTCTTTACTGTAGAAGAAACTCTAATTCATATACACTATGATATTTTTAAACCAGATAACATCTTTCTGGTGTGTCTTCCTCCTGAAGCATTCAGGATAGACTTGAGTGATCAGTAGGAGATCATTTGTGAATGTTTGTGAGAACCTTGTGAGCCAGGATATTGTCTGTCAAGTTCTTAATTAATTTGATTCAGAGTATGAAAAGTAGTGAAAGAGGTAAGAAGTTGCAGAATTACAGCTTCATATTTATAGAAATTGAATGCCAGGCAGGAATCTCTTCCTGCATCTGCCACACAGTTCACACATGGTTTTGGGTAAGTCACTTCAATCAAAATGTTAAAAGATGGTCATTAAATGTGTGTGCCTCATGTTTTGAGTATCTGCCTTGTGATGCCATGTGCTAAATACACAGCACTGAGTTCTCATGGATGCAAATGAAACTGTTTAAAGTATTACCTGAGCTCTAAAAGATGTAATATTTTTGCTGAAAAACCCTACATAGTGGGTTTATCCTTAATTGTCTCTCTCTTTTGGTTTCTTAGCCATGAGATTAGGACTCTAACAAGCAATGTTGTAAATATGCAGTAGTTTTGCTTCTGAAAATATGACTTCTAATGTGAGACCACCAGAGACATTGGGAAATTAACTTTTTTATCATGTGATTAGGGTGATATATATTCAAATAAGACCTGGACCAGCACCTTATGTGAAATAAACCCACCTTTGAATATCTTTACTGATTCAGGGAAGAGCTTGAAAGGAAATAAGTTGAGCCTGCACTTAGATTGCACTGTTTCTTTTGTGCAAGCAAGGAAATGATGCTTATTAGCAGTATTTTTAAAGTTCTCTTTTAATTTCTTTTAAGTGTGTAGGTATATTAAAGGTATGTCTTTAGCTAGTACTATTTGCATTGAGAAAAGATTGATCTAAGTATTTCTTGGTTACAGAAAATATTAATTTCTTGGAGACCCATTCTCATGAATTAATTGTGTATAAATATTACGTTGTAGTCATGGCCATGCAAAGGTGACTTTTGGGCATTTCCTTCTAGAAGGAGACATGTCAAAAAGCCATACTTATTTTATGAAGCAGAGAGCCTAATTTTGAAACCTCAGTCTTTGTTAGACAGCAGTGTTAGGAGTCCATAGTGCATGTCCCTTGCACCTCAAAGTCTTGGATTAGTTTCTGTGCTTGCAGGAGTTATACGCTGGTTCCCTAACCTTGTAGCTCATCAAAGTGGCATCAGTTGGTTTCAAATAATTTGTACTTGGCTTCACATACTATCAGAGTATGCTCAGGATAAGGCTATCGAACTTTACAATGCTCTGAGCTAAATGATATGTAAGTTCTGAGAAATCCCTCACACAGTGTGAGCCCAGCTCTCACTTCTGTTCATATAAACTCTGTTACTGTGGGTTCAAAAGAGATTTTTTTAACTAACCCACTTGTTGCATGTATCAAAAGTTTGATGAGTGTCAAGTGTGTTAGATGTATGGGAAGGGGGGAAAGACAAGAATATGTCTATCTCATCAAGTCTCTCATCCTGAGGCTGAGCATTCAGTGAATCATTGTCACAAAGTAATGGTGAATTTAA